GATTTTAACCATCTGCCTGGTCTTGTTAGTGGTAGCTGAAAGAGACCAGTAAATCGACAAGGAAAAGGGAAAGTTTTGCAGTGAAGTCCTTGCCTGGGAGCCCTGGTGTGTAGCATCTGGGGCAGCTGGGCATCGTTTCCTTGATTTCATTGACAAACCCAAGCCTCAGCAGGCTTGGGGGGCTGGCTGGAGTGCTGTGGTGGAGATGATCTGGGCAGCAGAAAAGTCTCCTGTGTGGCAGGTAGGAAGAACTGAGTGGAGGCAGAGCTTCCCAGCATGGGGAAGGCTTGGGATAATGTGTGGGGTCAGGGGGAGAGAAATAGTGTGGCAATGCACAAAACACTCTGGACTGGTTTCAGTGGAAAAAAACCCAAAACTTGCCCACAAAGGTGAAGAACAGGTTACAAGTTTGTTTTTTAGGATTTTTTTCCCTGATGTTCCCCAATTTTGGTAAATGCTTTACCTGTCATTTTTGTGAAGAAATGATTTTGTCTGGACCTTACTGCACACTTGCCTACAAATACATAAGCGACTCAAAGAGTTAGTTCTCAGGAAGAATTTATTTGCTTTGGTTATCGGTTTCCTGCATCTTGAAGAAATGGAACAGCTCAGGAAGGGTGTTTTAACTGTGGCTCCTTTGACCCCAGGCAGTCATTGCCTGGTGTCCTGGGCTGCTTTTTGCGTGGCTGCTGATCTGTAGCTGAGCAGCGTGGTGGCCCCACTCCTGCACGTGTGCTAGTTGGGGTTACAAGCCACAGAGTCAACCCTCTAGGTCTACTGTTTTGCTTTCATTGCCGTCCTCCATCAGATGTTCCTCCTCTGAGAGGTGGCATCCCATGAGGGAGATGTCCCAGAAGGAAAGGATTTCCCATACACACACCCCAGCTGAAGTAACCTCGTGCAAATATGCTGAGCTCTTACACAGCTCTTCGTGGGGATGCCAAGCAATAGGACAAGAGGCAGAAAATGATGCCCAGGAAGTTCCACCTGAACATGAGGAAGAACTTCTTTCCTGAGAGGTAACCACACACTGGAACAGGTTACTCAGAGACAGTGTGGAGTCTCCCTCACTGGAGACATTCAAGAGCCATCTGGATGCAATCCTGTGCCATTTGCTCTGGGATGACCCTGCTTGAGCAGGGAGGTGGGATCAGGTGACCCACTGTGGTCCCTTCCAACCTGTCCCATTCTGTGATTCTGGGGGTGATGTGATTCACCTTCTGTTGGCAAAGCCTTCCCATTGCACAGAGTAGCTGTGGTGGGAGGATCTCTCAAGGTTCTTCTGACGGTCTCCATTTGGGAGGTTGGAGCATGGATGGATTCAGATAGTGATGCACGGAGGGTGGGAATGGGCTGGAGGAAGGTACTTGTACAGCTTTCAGCCAAGGAAGTCCCTGAATGTTTGGTTGTTAATAAGTAATGGGGTAATTCAGGGCCATCTTAAGAGCACCATCAGCAGGTGGTGTGTCATTGAAGCATCCTCCAGAGGCCACTGCTGGCTCTGATGCTGGAGGATGCTTTGGAGTGCTTACTGTGGAAGTTCTTGGGAGAGGAACCAGAGAACTCCTCGCTCTCAAGGCTCTCACCCCCTCTTTTTCCTTGCACATTCCAGGGGAGACTGAGTAACAGATGACTGCTTCACGGCTAAGGGGAGGGTTCTGGATACAGGGATGCTCCAAATGCAACCATGTCTGGTGCAGGCATCTAGGCTACTGTTTCACTCAGAATAGGAGAAACCCACTGGTCTCTCAGCAAAGCTGCATTAAAGATCATGAGCCTCCTACCTGGTTACCCCCATACTTCATGTGGTTTAGCAAGAGATTGTTTTGTTTTGGGGCAAGAAAATGCATATTTTTCTAACCCATGTGATTGCAAAGAGTAACTTGGAAATGTGGCCTGGGTACCACTGGTGCAATACATACCTGGGTGCACGGGGGGCTTAAAACAGCAGCTCACTGAGGGTGCACAGCCCCGTTCCTCTGCAGTGAAGCAACTTCACCTGTGCTACAAAGTGATTTGTGTGTGCAACATTTCTAGAGGAGGCTGCAGTTCTAGTGCAAAACAGTTCAGCAGCTGGTGGTAAAAGAGCAGTTGAAATTGCTCTGCGTACTCAGGATGAACTGATGCAGAAGGCAGCAGTTGCTGGCAAAACTTACACTTGCTTAGTAAATGTGATTTATTCCCTTCTCATCACCTTACTTTAAACAGACATCCAGATTGTGTTTGTTTGGTAGTCATCTTTATTATTGCCTTCCAATTTTTAATAATAGATCTGGACCAAAGAGCACCCTGAGTGAGAAAGCATATGTGGGAATCAGAGTCTGTGTGTTTTGGCCTTCCTTATTCCATGGTAAAATGCAGTTTGTTTCCTGTCTGTGTGCTCCTGACCACCTCCATCCCGCTGTTTTATCCGTCTGTCAAAGCTACTTTGACATCTGGGTCTTAACTCACTGAAGTTGAGAGTAATTTGAATGGTCCCGTCAGCTTTAAAGTAACTACTCACCAGCTGGAGTCTCAGCCAACCCCCAGCCCGAGATGGGGCCAGGGCTTCTTCTCCCACTGTGTGTAAAATGACATGAGATCAGGGCCTCAGACTATAAACACTTAAAGCCCTTGGGTTTTCAGAGCCCATTGTCCAGATGAGATGTCTCTCCCTTTGCTAGATCTGATCTCAGGTGCAGGCAGCTCCAGATCCAGCCATACTGTTGGGTTTTCTTTGCCAACTCTTTTTCTGTTGTTTAGACTTAAAAAAAAAAAAAAGGAAAAAAAAAGTGAGTGATAAGTAAGGGCTATTTGATATGACGGAGAAAAGCTGTTCCTCTTTTGCACTCTATAACCCTTTTCCCTCCCAAAACTATTCTTGCCAGATCAAAATACATTACAATCCTCACATCAACATGAAAATCTCACCAGCTAATGTTTGCAAAGCTGAAGGTTTCTGTCTTCCCCAGGGGGTTAATTTTCTTTGTGCATTCTGGAGTGATCTTTAGTGATTCCCTTCTTGGGCATCTGTCCTGCCGTCCTCTCCAGTGAGTGGAAAAGTCAGATCCTCTGACTGAAATGAAGTAGCTGCATCCAACACTTGCTTGATTTAAATGCACACTCCAGGAGAAATGCAAATCTTCTGTTCTTTTTCCCTTGTCTCTCCCAAGGTGAACAAATAGTCCCAGTGTCTTTGACTTGCTTTCCTCCCTGAAGGTCTGTGTCTTCTGTGGAGAAAGGTACCTTTCCCTAAGGCTGTGTTTCACCCTTTTTCATGTCCTCTCTGTCCTCCAGCCAGCACCTACACTCTTGTTGTTACCCTAATTTGCCAGAATGAAAACTGAGGCAGTTTATTCCAGCAGCACTGCTCTGTGTCAGAACAGGACTGGACTTGCCAGGGCTCTGTTAGACCACGGTTCCCTGACTGAGCCCTGGAGAGTGGAAGAAGAGCCACAAATATCTGCAGGAAAAATAAAGCAAGGACAAAACCACATGCAGACACAAGAAGGGGAATGAATGATGGTGGGAGATAATCCGGATGGTGAACTTAAAACCAGTAGGAAATGCTTAAAGGAAAGAGCTGAAGATTCTTTTCCGAGAGACTGGGTGACTTTTTAGTTTGAAGAGGAATGAAGAAGGATGACATGACCCGATCAGGATCACCTGCTTGCCTACCTGTGGAAAAAGGCTTTCATCATGCTTTGCTACTGGAAATACTTTCAACCAAGTCACAAAGTTGAAAGTTTCAATTTTTACTCCACGCACATATGAAGGGATCTGGCACTGCATTAATGGTGTAGACATTAGACATTTCCATCTGCCTTCTCAGGACATGGACATGTAGCATCGTATAAAGCTGTGATCTGGCTACAGGAATTCCCCCCTGCTTGTCCAGCCCACCCTTATGCAGCAGCTCCCTTACCTGTTCTGGGCTGGGGTCTCCTTGGGCATCTGGCTTAGAGGTGATGGTTGGCAGACACGAGTGAGGACGGTGTGAAAGCTCCCGGCTTTTTTGGTGCTGCTAAAGCAGCCAGCAGCCCCCAGCTCTGCTATCGGCACATGGATGAGGGGCCGCGGTTCTGCCCAGCCAGCTCGCTCTGGAGCGCAGGCTGAAAACTGAAGAGGTTTTCTCCAAAAAACTGGGCATTCTGAGACCGGTGTCTTCCTTCAGCTTCAGACTGTCTGCAGTGATAAAGTGACTCCCACTTCCCCTGACCAGCCTCAAAGTGCCATCCCTCTCCTGCATCCCTCCCGCGGGAGGTCCCTGCGGGCGGCCCTTGAGCTCTGGGGACCATTTCTCTTTCTCCTGGGAAAAAGAAAAACCCTTTTCCCAGGATTTCCTTACCCAGGAGGTCTCACCAGGCTGCAAAGCAACTAAATCGAGGGGCTTGGTTTCGTGAAGAATCCCTGGCTGTTGCCGGCACTGACTTGGGGCCAACTCTGAGCACTTTCCATAGGGAAAAAAGACAACGAAATCCAAGCGCGGGAGGGGTCCCGGCGGGAGGTTACCTGCTCTACTGCTGGGGGCTGGCGCCGGCACCAAACTCGCCCCGGGCTGGCCGTCGGGACTGGATTTGTTTGGTTTTTCTCCTGGGAGGAAACACCTCTTCCGAGGAAAGCGAAGTGCCGCGGAGCAGGGCCGGGAGCAGGGCCGGCCCAGCGCTGGCCCCGGGACCCCTGGGGGAGGGACCGCTCGGGGGCACGGCTGCGGAACGAACCCCAGGAGAGGCTGGGGGATTTAGTCGTGGGAGTCGGGACCCCTCCCCGGGGACCTCCTCCTCCCGTCGGGGGAGAGGGGCCGGGCGGGCCGGCACCGCACGCCCCTCCGGGGGGGCGAACGCCCTATATATTGCCAAGCGGCTCGGGACTGACCTCCCCATCGCAGGGAGCTGCCGAGGCGCCAGCCCCTTTCCCCTTCCCCTCCCTCTCCCCCTTCCCCTCCCCTCGAGGGGGGGCTCTTTCTCCCGCCGCTCCCCCCCATTCTCCGAGGAGGAGGAGGAGGAAGGTGAGGGCCGTATATGAACGCGGCCGGCTTCCCCTGCCTGCGAGGCATGTGCACGCTGCCGGCGCCCAGCCCCGCCGCCGCGGCCAGCCCCGGCTCCCCCGGGCCGCCCCGGGGGTCTCCGCAGGCGCCGCCGGTGAAGCCGGAGCCGCGGGGCGGAGGGGGCAGCCCTGCCCCGCCGCCGCCGCCCCCCGAGGAGCCGCCGCCCCCCGTCGGGGGCCGCCGGAGGAAGCGGCCGGTGCAGCGGGGCAAACCCCCGTACTCCTACATCGCCCTCATCGCCATGGCCATCGCCAACGCCGCCGAGAGGAAGCTCACCTTGGGGGGCATCTACAAGTTCATCACCGAGCGCTTCCCCTTCTACCGGGAGAACCCAAAGAAGTGGCAGAACAGCATCCGCCACAACCTCACCCTCAACGACTGCTTCGTCAAGATCCCCCGGGAGCCCGGACATCCCGGCAAGGGCAACTACTGGACACTGGACCCGGCTGCAGAGGACATGTTTGACAACGGGAGCTTCCTGCGCCGGAGGAAGCGCTTCAAGCGCACCGACATCACCACCTACCCCGGCTACATGCAGAACTCCAGCGCCTTCACGCCCCCGCCCGCCGGCCGCCCCGCAGCACCGGCAGCACCCTACCCCAATGCCCTCTGCTCGCCTGGCTACGGCCCCCAGCTCTCCAGCACTGTCTTCCACCCCTATGCAGCCGGGGCAGCACCGCCGGCACAGCATCCCAGGATGTTCAGCATCGACAGTCTCATCAGCGGGCAGCAGGCCCTGCAGCCCTCACCGCCCTCCGAGCTGGGCCACCCATCCCTGGGTTTGCCTGGAGCTGAGTTGGCTCCCGCCTGCTCCGCCAGCAGCTCCGAGCCTTCCTGCTTCCAGGCACAGCCCGTCAGCCCCGGCTTGTTGGGCCGGGCTGGCCCCAACACCCTGGCTTACCCCTATGCCGCCTCGCCCCCTCACCTGCCCGTGGCGCAGGGCAGCTACTCGCCCAGCAGTCCGCAGCTCTACGGGGCTCCCAACAGACTGGCCCTGCCGGCCATGCGGCCTCCGGCCTGTGCCGAGCACGGCGAGCAGCTCCTGGGGCTCTCGGCGTCGCCCCTCGGCCAGTTCGGCTCCAGCAACACCTACATGAGGCAGCCCAACTTCCCTGCTGGCCTGGAGCGGTACATGTGATGGGCTTGAGGGGGCTTGGCTGGACATCCCCAGGCTCCCAGGAGCATCTCTGGACAAGTGGACTTCTCCCTGCTGTGGGGGCCGGCTGGGGTAGAGTCAGGGCTCCCTGGCCTCTGGCTGTGTGCGGACACAGGTGTGGGAGAACTCAACTCCTCTCCTTCTCAGCTTATTTTGGAGTGGAGGCAAGGTGATCTATTTTTCTGCCCCACCTCTGGCTTCATCTGCCAGGCAGGGCTCCCCACGCTTGCCCTTCTACACAGCCTGGCCCTGGGGATGCCATCTGCAGCAGTGCACCCCCAGGGTGAGGAGGAGCACAGTCAGGAGGTGGGTGCACAGTGTAGGGTGCAGGAACCCTCACAAATGGGCTTTCTCCTCTCTCCCCCTGGTGCCTCCTGTGTAACTGGAATGGAAGTTATCAAAAATCTCACTAAACAAGTTCACTGGATTTTAAATGAATATTTAAGATGTCTATCATTTTCTTTCCCTGTAGGAAAAGAAATCCCAACTTGACTACTTCTTTTTACTATTTTTAAAAATTACCTCTATTGTTAGAAAGGACTTTTTTAAAATAAAGCTTCTTCTTCCAACATGACCAGTGCTGCTGTTCCTCTGGCTCTGGGTGGATTTTGGCAAGAGGAAATTATAGACTTGTAACTGGTGGGAAACAGACTCGTGCTGCTGTTGTGACACTGCCATGTCTTACATTTTTAGTGACAATTTCCAAAGCTCTCTATTTTATTATGATTTTCTTAAAACCAAATGGTGACTCCTGTAAGGTTTGCCTATGCAGCTCTTATTGGACTTGATGATTTCCATTTGTGTACATGGAATGTGTCTTCCCTCAGAGGAACCCCTTGCAGATGAAATTCTGATTTAGCACATTGAGTTAGGAGATCGTATTTTTTCTTCCTAGCAACAAAATCAATTAAAATTCTAACCTGTTCACTGGCCAGGCTGCTGCCATTTATTTACAGGACTGCCAGCCAGACTGTCTCACCAGGTTTGAAGGCAGAATTCCCCATCCCCAGATTTAGATTTTTCTTTTTAATTTAAACATCCTTGCCAAGCTAGGATTTCTCTCCTGTTTTTCAAGCGTGCCCTCTGAAGCAGAGCGGTTTCTATAGTCCTTATTGCACCTTTCTCTCTAAGAAGGAGCTGGATGTCGGTTGAGCTTTGGTGTAAAACAGCATCTTATTCCCCAGTGTCTGGGCACGACCGAAAGCTGGTGTACATGTGGGTACCCAAGGAGTCAGCTTTTGTCCACAGCTTGGGAGCTTGTGGCTTTTCGTTCTTTCATTCTGTGTGCTTCATAGAAAAGGAGAGGGGGATTAGTATGAGAGGGAAGGGAAGAAAATGCTTTTTCTTCTTGGCTTCCTTAAAATTTGGACTCCATCTGTCTCTAAAAACTGGCCTAGATCTGTTCTGCCTTCAGCTGAGTGCTTAGTCTCCTCTCTGGCCCTTCCAGCTTGATCCTTGCAGCTTTCACACTGGTCCCAGCAGCAGCTTCTGTGCTTTTACCTTAGTGATAACCCTGCTCAGAAAGGGTGTTGTGAAAAAAACTTATTCCTTGGAATACTTTGGCTCTTTGCAGAAGATCTCTACAGGCTGACATCCTCCATCCAATGGAAATTTGCAACATGCCATTCCTGCCTGTGACATTCTGTCCGTAGAGATGACTTAGAGGGATGCTGAAATATTCACTTGCAAGGACAGTCATCAGAAAGAACGTTTGTCATAGCTCACATTCATTCCCAGGGCCTGATCCTGCAATGTTTTGCTAACAAAAGAACTTTTGAACTCTTGCCTAAGTATCCAGGGTGTCAGGGCCAGACATGTGCCTGAAGCATTGGATCTGCTGAGTGATGGGGCTGTGACTCTGTTGGCTTTGCACCATGAGCAGGAGGGTTGCTGAAGTAGGGAAGAACCAGGTACTGGCATGAAAGAAAAACAATGTTGGGTGGAGAGGGCGGGCAGGAGATGCCATGGTTCTGCCTGGGTGGGATGCACTGGGAAGAGTTAGCCAAGCTGTGACATCTCAAACTGGGCTGTGCCGGCTCCTCCCCAGCCACCCTGAAGACTTGCAGGAGCAGGGAGCTGGTGTCAGGGAGCTTTCCAAGTTCCTGGCGTCTCTGGATGTTAAGTACTGGTGAAGCCATGGGGGCTCAGGGTCCCCAAAGGGCTGGACTGTGGCTTGTTCCTGTCCCCGAGCTGCCTGTGCCTTCCTGCCACAGAGCTCTCCAGACAGTAGCACCCAGCTCGGGATCTAAGGATGTGTCTGCAAGAGACCCATCTCACCCCTGTGCTTGTCTCTTCAGCCAAGGTGGCTCTGGTGTGAAGCAAGAGTCACCACAGTGGACTGAATCCCTGAAAACCTGGCTCAGAGAGAGCAGATGACCCAATTGCAGTGTGTTGGGACAAACCCTGACGTGCAGTGTTGGGCTGCACATCTTCCCAGGTCGGGGTATATCCCTGTCTGCCAGACAGCCCCAGCGCAGAGGCCCCTGCAAGTATCAATAAACCACCCTCACCGTGGGCGTTACGCTGCCAAACAGCTGAAAACCAGGACAAACGACCCCCTTTTCTTCTTTTTCCTGTAGATATTAATCCTCACACACACAAAATGCTGGCAACTCATATTGTGATTGTCATTAAACTAATGCCTTGAGAGTGTCTTCTTGGTTAAGTTAATGTATCCCAACCAGGCTTTTAAGCTTTCATTCAAAGCTTTGTTTACAGTTAGGGTGAATCTAGCAAATGAGTAGGATTAAGGTGTCATGTAAAGCATGAGCCTTGCTGGGACAGAGTAGTTTTGAGCTTTGTAAAGTTTATACCTGAGCCCTTCATCTGTTTTAGTGTCTTTTCGATGTCCCTGTGTAGTGAATAAGAGGGATTTGAATGAAGCAGGAGAAATTATCGCCCAGATTTCAGTTGTGAAACCGAGTCTCCTTTGAAATCCTCCCCTCTTTATTTAGGGACTTTAGGGAATATTAAGTAATGACAGTTGCAACTATCTTGAGCTCACACAAAAGACAAAACTTTTGCAAAACTTTTTATGCTCTCTAAGATTGTGGAATGAATGTCATCCTTCAGGGTGATGGCAAGAGGTACTCTGGACTTCCCGTGGTGGGGAGAGCCCTGTCTTGAGCCTGTGAGCTGCACACATGGGAGGTGGAGTTGGTCCCAAACACTAAAGAGATTTAGGTGGTTATCTGGGCTATCTTGTCTGACTTTTCAGGGAGTAACTCTTTGCAAATCAGGCTTATTTCAGATAACTCGGGCTGCACATTCAGAAACACATGGCCAAAATGAGCTGCCACTTTGAAAGGATGCTTGTTTTGCTCTGGAAAACAATGGCTGCCCAGGGAGAACCAACTGAGCTGCTGCATCTGTCTGCATACGGCAGCATTTTGCATGTCTTGTGCTCATACCACCTTCCTGCTGCTTGCAACAGGTTCAAACAAGCAGTAAAAACTGCTCTTTCCAGATAATATTCCCATGCTCTAAATAGTGTTTTCCATCCTGTTACAAACAGACACAGCATTAGCTGAAATTTTAGTTGAAACACATTTCCTGAAGAACTTATTAGTCCCTCTGGTACAGTTGGATTTTGTCTGGATGCTGCCAGCTGTCCACTGGCAGTCCCAGTGCTGGAAATGTAACACCATTACTAGCTTTTATTCTATGCAATACTTTGCCCTTTGCAAATACATGGCTTGAAGACAGTCAGTGGTGTTTCTTTGAGGTCAAGATTGAGTTAGTAAAGTAAGATGATGATGGGGATATGGGCAGTGGGTGCAGTGGGACGGGCTGAGATTGGCTTTGCCAGGTAACAATGAGTTTTTAACAAATTATCATCTGTGTGTCAGCACTGCCCAAGCTCTGAGCTACATCTCAGGGTATCGATGGTCGGTCACCACCTCTGCTACATTATATTTTGGTCCTTTATATTTGGGTCGTTCATATTCGGGCAGGAGCAGGTGATGCAGCTGCTATGTTTGTACAGAGCAAGAGCAACGCTGCGCTGCCCTCCGCCGCTTCGTCCCACGGGTGTAACGCCCCGGCATGGGGGGGGTGGCAGGGGCGAGGTGGCCCGGAGTGACAGCCGGCGTGCTCAGGCCAACACTGACCTCCAGTGGAAAGCCCTGGGAAGCCGCTCCCGGCTCCCGGCGGGGGTGCTCAGCATGTACCGGCAGCATCCCGACCTTTGGGGGCGGTCCTGTTCATGGCTGGGGGGGAACAAGACATCGGGGAAGCTTGGGGTACGGTCAGGATGAGGCGGTGTGGCTTGTTCAGGGAGGGTCGTTATTAAACACAATGGGTTGGATACAACCTCCAGGCTGGGAAATACCTAAGACACTAGTTGCTGACTCAGGGAAGATTTCAGAGAGGAAGGGTTTCTTTGGCTATACCTTCTTTTACCCTTTTCCTAAGCCATCACTGGGGTTAGGGTACAGGGTTGGGTTGTGCTGGCTGCCCCCTGCAGCTCTTGTCCCTAGAGTGAAAATAGGGAAATAAGTGGAAGCTCAGTGAGAATCTGTGCCCTTCATGGAAGGTGAGGGGGTGGTGATGACAGATCACTTTGCTGCAGCAGCCAGCCTCGTTGGCAGCCTGGCTTTGTGTTTGAAATGTGCTGCACGGTGTGAGAATGGCAGAGCTGGGGACTGGCCTGACTCTAACAGCACCTGAGCTGCAAGGCTGCAGGCAGGCAGCAAAGCAGCAGAGCCTGAGCACTGACATGTAACACCTACAAGCTCTTGGGAGAGCATCTGGGGTCCAGTCATTTCACAGTCTTTGTACTTTGCTGGAGTGGTTACACTGCAGCAGTTGGTTTTGTGCATGTATTGAATCAGCTGTGTCATCCCAGCACCAACAAGCAGCCTTGGCTCGTGGCAGCTCAGTGTGCTGCATGGAGAAAGGATGCATCTGGGGCAGTTACATATGTGCCTGGGAAAAGTTCATTTTCCATTTGCATCAGCAGTGCTGAGTCAAAGGCAACAGTGTATGACCTCTGCAGAGAATGGGTCCAGTGGTTTCAGACATCTTGGGTGCTTTCCATCTGCACCAGAGACATCTCATCTTGCTTTTAAAAAAACCCTGCTAACCGGGTGTTGGAAATCAAATCCA